ACTACTACTACTACTACTACTACTAGGGACTTGGCCTACTATTATTATTAGTTCGTAAGTAGCTTTATACTTGTGCATGAACGTCAAGTTAAATAAACAAATTCTATTTCGTACATGTTGGTACAGTAGATGTACGCGTGAGTGACATTCCCTAAGGCCTAGGCCTACATTATTTTGTGGATAATAGGCTAATTATTATTTATTTTAAATTTATTTAATGTCCTTTTAAGATAAAAAGGGGTGTTAAAGTCTGTTGATGTTTCACCCTATATTCGCCATCATAGTATTGCGGTCTCAGTTTGTTTACTTGACGTTTAAAAATGCACAAGTACAATATATAGGTACAGATACACCTGTAATTCATGAAAAACGATGACAATAATTAAATAATGGGGACGATAGGCCCAATGATGATGATGACTACGAATAAACTGGCCTATAATAAACATAGTTGATTTCTCGTAACCAGTAGGACTTGTTTTCTATTATACTGGCATAACCCCATCTTAAAAAGATACTAGACCTGCTGGAGCGTTGCTTATCTCGCATCGCAGGTATCAAAACCGCTCTAAGGCTAATTATTATTTATTTTTAATTTATTTAATGTCCTTTTAAGATAAAAAGGGGGGGGGGGGGTTCAAGTCTGCTGATGTTTCACCCTATATTCGCCATCATAGTATTGCGGTCTCAGTTTGTTTACTTGACGTTTAAAAATGTACAAGTACAATATATAGGTACAGATACGCCTGTAATTCATGAAAAACGATGACAATAATTAAATAATGGTAACGATAGGCCTAATGATGATGATGACTACGAATAAACTGGCCTATAATAAACATAGTTGAGTATCAATAACAAAATAATTAAATTTACGTTACACAATGTGTAAGAATGTTATTGCTGGGGTAAAACCACTGGTTGGTTGTCTTGGAATTTCGGTAAGATTACTTTCATCATCGTCTGGAGTTAAAACGATCGAGCAACCGGTGGTTTTACATCAAAAATCTTATTCTTGCACATCGTGTACCAACATACAGTACTTTATTATTAACCCATGCTCTATATACAGGGGTGTGGGCATTAAAATGGGTCGGAGGGCAAAAGTCAATTTTTGATTCAACTCCGAGGGCCGCCCCCAAATTTTGACATTTCAGTGCAAAACTGTTTTATGGCCACTATATGCTCAGTTTTACTGTTACTTTTTACATATGATTGGTGCCGGGCCGCAAAATACAAGGTGCTTTCTAGCCAAAGATAGTTGGCAGGGCCGCAAACATAGGGTTTGTAATTCATTTTCGAGGGCCGCAAAAAATCATTGGCGGGCCGCACTTTGCCCACATAGGGTCTATGCTCTTTTAGAACCCCAGTACAGTACTTTATTATCAACCTTGTGGTAATAGAAACCTACTACTTATAATCAACCCATGATTCTCATTTCATTTCTCATTTCATTTATTTGTCTCAAACATAAAAATTTACAAAAACAGAAACAGCAAACAAAAAAAGCACAAAAGAACGTGAATCAGGAACACCCCAAATTAATTATTTTCGAGTAGGCCCTTTGAAAAACAAAATGCTTACAGTATAAATTTTTTCAAAATATGAAACATCTAAAGTGACGCTATAAAGGAACACACACAAAAATAATATTCTATTATCAACTCAAGCTCTTCTTATCATTCAGTTTGAGTGAGTTGTGTGTCATCCAGGCATGCATCTCATCTATCATGTTTTCAACTTTTAAGTACTCTGGTTCTTTACCGGTCTTCATGGACTTTTCATGGACTTAAAACCTGTCAACATCAACGTTGACTGTTTTTAATTGTCTTTTCTTTACACTTACGTACAATGCAAATATATAAATCTACGACTACCTTTGTATGCAATTCGTTTTGTGTACTGTATTATAAAAAATCATAATCAATCTTTTTATATTATTCGTTTAAGTATCGACACAATAAACTAGACTAATGTAGTCTTATTTAACACAATACTGGTGAAAATAATTATTTATTCATTTGTTGGTTCTTTCTTTCGTTCGTTCGTTCATTAATTAATTAATTTATGTATTTAAGCAGGAATATCCGTTTGTTCATTTGTTAGTTTATTCATTCATTTACTAATTCATTTATTTAGACAGGATAAAATACAGACGAGATTTGAACGTTTTTTACAATATGGTTCTGCAAAGATTAAATACAATAATCAACGTACAAGAAGACTGCCTAAGACAATACTATATACGGCCCAATAGATCGCATAATATTCCTCCAGGGGCTTTAAAGCTTTACATGTTCAAAAACCTTTCCCCGCCGGACACCAACTACGTACGTTTCGGGGCCAGGGATTCCATGTTTGTGTTAACTATATCACATAATATGGCAAAAAACTAATAGCCGAGGCACACCAACACGGTATTTATGAGTCAATGATTCAAGGCCAGAACTACAAGCTACAATCACTTAAATAATAAGTAGTAATTTATACTTGAAACGTACCCAACCCTAAAACCAAAGAAGGGATCTAGAGTTACTCTCAAAAGTTTTACGGTATAATATCGTTTGTCTACGCTCAGGTTTCATGTAAGAAAAAAAAAATTAAAAATTTAGAATAATATCTTTCTAATGATGTTGATGATAAAATCTAAAGTTTTATAGCTTCGATAAATCCTGTAAAAAATAGCATGAACTTAAAGGTAACCAAAAAAAATATATAAGTGTTTATCTCTCTTGTCTTTCTAATCTTCAACTCTTCTTGAAATGA